GGAGCGAAGCAGGATGGGTCCCACGCACACAGGGTGGGGGGCGCCGGGAGCGCCGGTTTTCCCTCTTCACCCCAAAAGCAAGACGTTTTTTGCAGGTTTGTGGCCAAAGCCATGGGGCCAGCTGCTTCTCTGGAGGCAAAAAAGCTTTTTCTGTGGCCACGTGTGCCTTCACAGGGCTCCTGCCTTGCCCGTGGGCCGGGATTATGGTGCAGGATTTGGGGGGACCCAAGTGCTGCTTGCATCCCCCCGGCTCTGCAGCACGTCCAGCTCCCTCGCTGCTCTCTCCCATTTCAGCCTCTTCGAAGCAAAAAAACCTCAAGGTGGGAAGGTCCCCGGTCCCCAGCCAGGTCCCTGCAGCTCAGCCCAGAGCCACCGACCGTGGGCATCCTCGGCGGAGCCGGGATGGTCCCTGCCACCCCCATAACCCCCAGTGCCGCACCCGCTCGCCAGCACCTTCTCCATCATCTTCCAGAAATGAGGGAGGAAAAAAAAATCAGCAGCAGGTTAAAAAGCAGAGGAGGAGGCTTGCTTCTGGGGTGCTGCTTCTGAAAAGCCTTCGGGGATGCTGCTGGAGGGATTTTTGGAAAGCTGATGGGCTAGAAAAGCCCCAGAGATCTCCTCTTGCTCCGCCGAAGAGATGGGATTCAGCAGCACGCTGGCAAAACCGGGATAACCCAGAGCAACGAGGGCCAGGACGCCCCACAGCCGCAGAGCTCAAGGCTTGGGGCTGGGACCCAAAGGGGCCTCTCCCTTTGGGTGACCCCCAGGATATTCCCGGGGAAACGGGGGGTTTGGTGGTGGCACCGAGCCGGGACCTCCAGGGATGGCGCAGCCCCCGGCGATCCCCCACAGCAAAGGGACTCAGCAGGGTGACAGGGACCCAGCAGGGTGACAGGGACCCCGAGGTGGCTCTCGGTGCTGCACTAGCTCCGTGATGCCCTCCAGGAGCATCCCCCAGCACCGTGGTGGCTGAGCACCCACCCAGGACTCCCCCCGACTCCAGTTCCGGCCCCCTCATTCGGTGGAGATGGGTGTAAAGCTGCGGGCAGGGACAAGGGGTGACCGTGGGCAGGGACACAGCAAGCGGGATGCAGGGTGACAGCAGGGCGTCACCGAGCATCCCCCGTGCCCCCCCGCAGCAGCCCCCAAGCCTGGCTGCCGGGACGGTGGGCACATCGGCTTGTCACCGTCACCACCAAAGAGACCCCCATGGAGGGCAGGAGGACTTGTGGGTTTGGGCATTGCTGAGGGGACATCCTGACCCTGGGAGCTGTGCCGTGCTGTGCCATGCCATGCCATGCCGTGCCATGCCATGCCGTGCCGTGCCGTGCCGTGCTGTGCCATTCCATTCCTCCAGCCCAGGGAGAACGATCCAACACAGTTTCCCAGTCCCCAAGGGGTTAAACCATCCCCATACGTCCCCAAAATGACGGGGAGCTGTTGGTCCCCAGCAATTAGGTGGCAGGTCCGGGTACACCGCGGTCCGCCCCGGTGACGTGGGGACGGATCCCGGCTGGCCGGTGGTTTGTGCCGCTGGCTGGCACCCAGCAGCTGGAGCCACCACTGCTTTCCGGCACCGCGGCCCCGGTGGCACCTGGCCGGGAGCGATGTGTCACTGGTAATTCCAGGAATTGGTGGCTCTGCAGTCCCCCGCCACCTGGGTACCCCCAAATCTGCACCAACCCCATGTTGCCGCTGGGGTAGGGCCTGATCCTGCATACCCCGTGGGGACGAGGTGGGTGGCTGATGGTGTCACCCCGGGCTGGAGGGGTGGGGGAAGCCTCCGAGCCCCTTCCCGGCTCTTCCCAAAGGGGTTGGTGGCCCCTGGGGACTTCCCAAGCCTGGGGAAGGGCGAGAGGTGGGCACGGCAGGGCTGGGGCTGCGCG